TATATATTTGATGAGAATAAAATCCACGAGTGTAAATATTATGTAGTACAAACCTAAATACAAAAAAAAAAAAACATTGACAAATCTTCGTGCATTTTGAAATAATTTTTAATATTCTGAATGTTGTCTTGTATTAACAAATGTAAAGACACAAGAACATACATACTGTTTATATTTATAGTTTACATAAATGTTGTCATTTTTATATTCAGATCTGTACTACATAATATTTACACTCGTGGATTTTATTCTAATCAAATATTAATATATATTAACACTAATAATAAGCAAATTTGGTAACAACTTAATTAGCATTCATGTTCCTGTGAGGTTTTATGAATTATTTTATTTTGTATTTATTTATTTTTTAATTTAAGTTATTGCTGAAAGCTATGCAATAACCAAAAACATTTCTTATATAGAGATAAATGTAATAAATGTTGTTTGTAAATGTAAAGACATTTCCAAACAACAACAGTATGACCTTTATTATTGTTATCATTATTATTTAACAAAATGTTTATGTCTGTTTTTAACCCTGGATGACAATAAACAAATCTGATCAAAGCATTTGGAACAAAACAAAAAAACAAAACATGCAATTAATTGTAGGTGAGGGGCCAAAAAAAAAAAACAGGACATGTATGGAAAAAAAAGGCCGTTATGATAATAACGCGTTTATGTTGCTTAAACATGCTGTCTATGTAGGCAGCGTCTGAGTATTCAAACACGGTCAGTATGCATCACTGAAGTACTCACTATATTCAGCTGTCTGACTCGCTCTTTGGACTAAAATTATCTTGTATTAAATAGCCGAGTCGTGCCCTTAAATGGTGCCGAGGCGCTTTAGAGCAGCAGAGTGATTGCAGTCATCTGTGCAGGAATCGGAAGCAGCTTTATGGTGGTTTATGGCTTCATGTGTTAATAGTTGCAGCTCCGCATGTCGCTTCCGGTCCGTTGTGTGTGACGTGTTTTCCTTACAATTAACACCAAAATTACCAATGTAGCAAATCACCTGTTTTTGTGCATAATCCAATCGTAAATTATGAAATGTAGGCTCAGAATGACCCCTCAGATCAATATAAGTTATGCTAAAAAGGCGTTATTTTCATACAATGTTTCAAACTGTTTTTTTTTTATTACACTACCCACAGTCACCGGCAGAGAGCAATAACGCTCTTCTGTTTCAAACGCACGCATTTCTTGTACAGTATGTGCTGAATCCTCTATGATTGGCTTTATCTCTTATATAAAACACATTTCTGTTCCACAAACGTGTCTGTTGTTCGCCATGCATGACATAACATGCTCTTTCTGTCAAAGTCATGATAATTAAGGATGCATAATTATTCATGAGATTCATAAAACCATTGTTGATTCAATATACTGGGCCCTGTGGAGAAAGAAAAGGAGTTTCTTGCATTACAGTGTTAATATAAAAAAGACTTTTTGTCGTTAGTATGTGTATCAAGTCTATAAGTGCATACATATTTTTTTATTATTATTTATAATATATTGGATCACTACTTATTACGTTATTGCATTTTTTCCTGCCATTTATTCTACATGCACTGGCGGCACTTACTGTAGACTCACATCGGCAGATTTATAAAATTGCATTTAATTTACAAAATGTAAATTAAAAGCAAACATTGACAGCTTCCTCATTGTACAGAAATGAGCGACAAATTTAAAAACCTGCTCTTCCCAGGTTCGCTCGCTATAGGAAATGGAAAATACAATATTTTCCCAGCTGGCCCATGACTGGCCAACTGGAGCAGCTAGTATTTAGGCGCAGGGTTTATTTTATCGACGCTGCTGTGCACAGTCGCGTTTCCGTGTCTGTTTGTTTCAACCGGAGGTTTTTCGCGGTCCAGCACTCAGACAAAGCCAGAGAATCAAACACCCCCTCAGAGACGCGCTTCTTGCTGAAAAGCAATGAGAAATACCTTCAAGGACAGCATAGTGGAAGGAAAGACGACTCGGAGGGTGAGGATTTATCATCAAACATGTTTCCAAACGAGCCACTGTGAGCCAGGCAACTCAAACAGTGCGTCTGACTATAGGCCAGGCGTTGACATGATCGGCGGGAGCTGTAGTTTGTTTGTTTAGTAGGATTTCAAACTGACACGGCTCTTTCCACACTCTTAAGCATTCCTTTCCATCAAAAACACGTACAAAAAAAACTAGCCTGTAAGCAGCCTTTAGGTCTGGTCACACCAAGACGAATCTCCGGTGCCATAAACATAATTTAATTTTAGGGCCCTATTTTATTTATTTTTTTCCCTCCCAAATTCCGTCTTATTTTTCTTTTTCCAAATTCCGTTTTTTTTTTCTGTTTTAATTTTTCTGGATTCCGTTTTAATGTTATACTGTGTATTGTGTTGTGTTGTGTTGTGCATTTACTTATTTTTTTTTTTTTGCAAAATATATTCTGGTAAATATTCCTTTAAAATAATGTTTTATTTATAATTTTACATATATATATATATATATATATTTATTTATTTATTTCTGTGATGTAAAGCTGAAGTTTCACCAGTCCAGACTTCAGTGTCACATGATTCAATGCTATTATCAAGAGATCCATTAACTGTATCGCTGTGTGAAGAATGGCGACAAATTGTGCATGTGTTCATTGTGCGTGCATTGTGAATCAGGGTCTGCACCGGGGGAAAAAACGCTGCTAAGTGCTTTCAGCCAACGCTAGAGCAAAGCTGATTGAAGTATATATACCTGTGTGTATATATATATATTTATAACTTTACATATATATATATATATATATATATGTGTTTGTGTGTGTATATACATGTGCATATATATGTGTGTGTATATACACGTGTACATATATATATATATAATGTGTGTGTGTATATACATGTGTGTGTATATATATATATATTTATAACTTTATCCTATCTGCTTTATCGAGGAAACAATTTTTATCAGGGAGATATTGAAAAAGGAGACAGCTAATGCCTGCTGCAGATGCTATTATCAAGAGATCCATTAACTGTATCGCTGTGTGAAGAATGGCGACAAATTGTGCATGTGTTCATTGTGCGTGCATTGTGAATCAGGGTCTGCATCGGGGGAAAAAACGCTGCTAAGTGCTTTCAGCCAACGCTAGAGCAAAGCTGATTGAAGTATTGTGGAACATTTTGAAAGAAAAGAACACATATTTCCTCCTTTCATTATTTTTGTATCTGGTTTGAACATTCTGATGGTTTTGTGAATGGATTTCTCTTGAAAATTGCTTGGTGTTTGGTTAAGAATCAAAAGCACACGCTCAAGGCGTGCTAAGAGAACGGATTCACAGAGGTCAAATTCAGTGTTTTAGTCTTTTAGAGAAAATGTCTTTTTAAATTTAGTCAATGTATTTGTCATTTCATGCTTATTAGGTTCATTTGTGGCATTTCTGACTGAAATATGTAGCTCTCATATCCTCTCGTCTGTGCAGATAAAAGATGTAATATCGCATTTATGCTGCAGCTATAGCTGAATAATCTTAAAGGAATATGTCACCAAAAAATGAAAATGTGCTGAAACTGACTCACCCTCAGGTCATCCCAGATGTAGATGTGTTTGTTTCTTCATCAGATTTGGAGAAATGCAGCATTACATCACTTGCTCACCAATGGATCCTCTGCAGTGAATGGGTGCCGTCAGAATGAGAGTCCAAACAGCTGATAAAAACATCACAATAATCCACAAGTAATCTACACCACTCCAGTCCATCAGTTAATGCAAAAAGCTACGTGTTTGTAAGAAACAAACTCATCAAATAGGTTTTAACTTGAAATTGTCACTTCTGGCCAAAATACAAGTCCATAATCAATAATAACGCTTCCTCAAGGGAAAAGTCAATCTCCTGTTGTCCTCTCACATCAAAATCCACAAACATATTTGTTTTGAACTATTTTGGACTGGAGTGGTGTGGGTTACTTGTGGATTATTGTGATGTTTTTATCAGCTGTTTGGACTCTCATTCTGACGGCACCCATTCACTGCAGAGGATCCATTGGTGAGCAAGTGATGTAACCATCTACATATTGGATGGTCTGAGCGAGGGTTCAGCAAATTTTCATTTTTGGTTATTTTATTCCTTTAAATAGGATGCATTTGAGTGCTAATTAACCAACTAGCAAAGCCGCTCAGTACAAAACTCTTTTAGCTCAAGCACATCAATCCCCAGCATCCTATGATTTAATCATCTATGTTAGTCCTTTATTAATATTTTTCTTTCTTCTAAAAAAAACAAGTGTTTTTTTATTTATTTATTAAGTTTAATTATCACTCTTATGCATCTTTCCCCCCTCGTCTTTCCCTCGTTATTTTCAAAAAACTAGATTCACACTGATGGAACATTGACTGGTACAAAAATAAGAATCAATCGTTTCTCTCGCTGTCACTCACGCGTCTTGTTTTGAGTAGTCTGGCAAAGGTGATGTTTTTCCTGCGAAACGGTGAGAAGCCAGCAGCCACCTGCGGTTAACCTTCATCTGCGCTGGAATTAACTTCCTGTCAGACCACTGACGTTACAATCTCCTCTGCTGTGACTTCTGTGCCATTAAACATGCACATATACATATAATTCACCCTTTTTTGCTCTAATCATTTGTGAGAGTTGTTTCTGTTTTAAGAACTGTTTTTATAAATGTGTGTGTGTGTATCTATCTAACTATCTATCTATATATCTATCTATCTACTGTAATATAATATCTATCTGAAACATGCTAGCAATGGGATGATACTTACCAGAAACTTCATGGCAACACTCCACACCAACCTAGCAACCACCCGAGTACCCTAGCAACCGCATAGCAACACCCTAGCAACTACCCCAGGTACTATAGCAACCGCATAGCAACACCTTAGCAACCACCCCAGGTACTATAGCAACCGCATAGCAACACCTTAGCAACCAACCCAGGTACACTAGCAACCGCCCTAGCAACTGCCCCAGGTACCATAGCAATTGCATAGCAACACCCTAGCAACCACCCCACATACCTTAGCAACAACCTTTGGTACCCTAGCAACTGCATAGCAACCACTCCAAGCATCCTAGCAACCGCATAGCAACACCCTAACAACCACCCAGAGTACCCTAACAACCTCATAGTAACACCCTAGCAGCCACCCCAAGTACCCTAGCAACCATCCAGAATACCTTAGCAATATTTCTAAACCATATGAACTCATTTAAGCTTCCATTCTATCTATCTATCTAACTATCTGACAGACTGTATTGCCTTCAAAACATTTTTCATGCTTTAAGCTTTAAAACTACTTTAAACTTCAAACTATTTCAGACTGAAAACCATCAAACTTTTAAATCTTTTAAAAACTTTTTCAAACTTTTTGGTCAGGCTTTCTAAAGCCAACTTAAAGTTTGTCTTGACGAACCTTTTTTTATCTAGTTTATTTATTGCTTGTTTGTGACATTTCAGTGACAATTAATCACATTTCATCTAAAAAATGTAATTACTGTAATGCAACCCAGTCTTTTACCTTTGAGTGTGTTAATTTTATTAAATTCCCATTATTTTAATATAGTAGTGAAAAGCATCATATTTGCACACAATAATAATTATTGTTTGTTAATTAAAATCAGCATAAATTAACATAGTCCCTTATGGTACATGTCATATAATGTCTTGTTTTATTGAAAACTGACAGTAATGTCTCTGTAAATTAATAAATGAATTGCAGTTATGACCTAATTCCTCATAATTGTGACATTTTATATCACAATGTGATTATTTCCCTCAATTGTGACTTTATTTATCAAAATTATGATATATAATGCATTTTGAATTTATCACTGAGATACTACTTAAGTTTT